AGACACAAGGGATGAAACTCGACGATGAAATCAAAATGAAAATTTGAAAAAGTCTTATCCAAAGAAACTCAAGGAAAATGTAACAAGGTTGCATGTGTAAAAGATTCAACTCAATCCCTAGACGAATGCTTGGAAAGATGTAAAGTGTGCATGCGGATGATTCACGCTGAGACTTTGGCACGCTGTGAACAAACAAAAAATAAAACAAAAGATGTGTGATACTTGTCCACCACCTCTCCCTAGTATTAGTAATAGGGGATTCACACTCACGGGGAAACCTGAGGTCACGGGACAAGGTAAAAGTATTAGTTCAGACCTTCAGTCAACGGAGTGGGGCCGTTTTTACAGTTGTAACGTGTAAGTAACACAATGAGGAACTTGAACTTCAAGTACAGTGAAACCTGTCTTAGACGACCACTCAAGGGACCTTAAAAATGTGATCTCTGTTACCAGGTGGTCTCCTTATCCGGGGTCATTTGACTGGAAATAGCATCAGTGGTCTTCTTGGACAGGTGGTCGCCTTGTCCGAGTGGTCGCCTTGGCGGGTTTTACTGTATGCTAACATCACAACCACGGGCAGAGGACCCAGGGGTTCACTACGTCTTGCAAGGCCCATCGACAGGCATGGCCACTCGAGGTCAGTTGGAACGCCACCTTCCCCTCCCCTGGTTCACACTACAGGCATGGCCACTCGAGGTCAGTTGGAACGCCACCTTCCCCTCCCCTGGTTCACAGTGCTTCTGGCTCATACCGACCGCTTCTAGCCAGCTGCCGCCTCTGGAATGCCCTGCCCGTCGTGCCCGACTGTATGACGACTATGAAGTCGATAGTACACGTCCATGAGCTCAAATTCTGCAATGGCAATGCCCTCGATCCCGGCCTGGGTTCAACCTGCTTGACATTTGGGTGTACCTCTGGATGTATGATTCTCGTTCGATTACTACTACTAGTATGCGCAAACGAGCCTTGTATTGCTACATGTACACAGCCATGCTATTTATCGGATTAATTAAGGTAGCAGTACTGGAATATGCCATTCGCAAATACATACAACTAAAATCGGGTATTACTTCGGCGTCTGTGAATCTTTTCCCACAAAATTTTGAGCACAGATTCATGATTCACGCCACCACCTAATAAAAGTACTACCTTGAACTTATTTACTTCGCATCGTCCCAAAAGTTCACTGCACTGGAGAGTAAAAAAATGCCGTCATCTCAGATTTTTGGTACATGCTAGCAGCAACATAATATCAGCTGAAGTGTTAAAAATGCATCACAAGCAACAGTCTACAACAGTAGCAGATGCTGAATAGAACAGATTGGAGATAGGACACAAATAGCACCACCCAGTCAACATCATCTGTGAAGACGCCCGTCACCGTCGAAAAAGATTATTACTACTGAGGCAGCTAACATCCGCCAAACAAAAAACTATGGCTTTATAAATATATTCAGCATCTGGGAAATTTTCCACTGATCAATCTACATATAAGGTTTATTGGGCTGTGATGAGCCAGTCTGGAGATATAGTGTACCAAAGTTTGGTCGGAAGGCCAAAAAACACTAACTTTTGGCACTCTGAGAACCCTCCAGCAATGTATGTGACTACCTCTGCTTGCTGTATCGTGTCAGCAAATCCCTTTCGAATGACTCTTCTTCTCTTCCTGGCTGACTTTTGCTCCTCACTGGACCTTCTCCTCCTGTGATACTGCTTCTCTTCATCCAACTTGAGAAGACCAGAGCTGGCAAGTGAACCCTTAGAGCAGCTCATCATTTCCAGCACAGCCGAAAACATTTCCATTGTTCGTACTCAGCATTAGAAATCTTTCTTGCTTGCCATCTGTTCTTCCAAGTTTTACATCCACTGCAGTGTTTTGATAGCACCTCCACGTTCAGAACCTTTTCTTTCTCATAGGACACAACAGTTGGCATACCAAACCTTGATGAGAATCCGCGCTTCATCCACGTTCCATCGGTGCTAACTGCAACATGCTCCGGGTGGGAATGCTGTTCTGTTGTTCGCCGAACAAGAAGACGCTGTGCAGCACTCTTCATGCTGTCCCTAGCATCAGTTTCCACAGCAGTGTGTAGTGCATCGCTGTGCCCAGAATTGGACTTGCTAACAGGAGGCGGCATATCCAATATCCCACAGATATTGTTCAGACCTTCTCGTCCACTACCAATAAGGCGCATGGCAAGCACACTGCGGCGGCGGTTTATATCGTACAATTCAGCAAGTGGGTGTCTTTCTGCCAGGGCTACACTGGTTGATGAGCAGCACGATTCGCACTGCAAACTAATTGTTGAGGCGAGGCCATGACGAAAATTATCTTTGATAGTCAGGTTGCCCTCTTGATAATTACTACATACACACGCTGACGTCACCAATTGCTGTAAGCTCTCCATGTGAACAATTCGATTTCCTGATGGAATATCATCGCAATCCTCTTCAGACTAATCTCCATCGTTATCACACGAGGCATCACTGAATACAAAATCAGCTGGAAGATCAGAGTCATCTTCTACGCCCTCACCAGCTCCATCAGCCTGCGACTCGCCGAGTGTTCGCTTTCACTCCCCTCAATTGGCTCAAATACTTCAGGACTTGAAACGAGCTTGGACGTAACTCTAGGAAATTTGCTTTTCCTTGGCCTGCTGAGCGACCTTCGTTTGTGTTCATCACCCGTCTCCTGACCAAGTAGCGCCAGCACAACAACTCAAGCGCGGAGCTGCAACGTCGATGACAAACGCTCGTCGCATTGGCAAACAGTTTGAGAACAAAGAATTTTTTTATCATTTTTGAAAATACAATTGCGTGGGTTGAGTGCAGGCCAGCCAGGCCAGCTAGCTTGGGCCAGGCAGGCGCTGCATGTGGCGATCGCGACACTCAGCCCAGCTCTAAACTGGTTTTAGCTGGACAGATAGTGTGAATCACGCCGAGATTGGCAAAGATGCGCTGATATTGTACAGAAACCCTCTCGAAATAGATTGACATCGATCAGCTGATCAGTGCAATTTTGAAATTTTGACGGGTATTTTCAGTTTTTGAAGGGCCATATCTCTGCTTTGGCTGGTTCGAATGCCAAAAAACTTCATTTGTAGAGCCTTTGGTATTCCTTCTTTCAGAAAAATCACACTTGAAGCAGTTCCCATGAAATTGATATTTTGGCTAAATCTGACACCCGTTTTCCAGTACTGCTACCTTAAACTGACAAAGCTGCCCTGTGCTCTATGGCAAACCTACGATGGATTAACGTTAGCTCGGAATTACTTTTAGGTGGTACTTGTACATGACTGTACTGTACATTGAGAAGGGAAAGTGGGTTGGTGAATACGAAGAAGTACAGATGGGGAAGATCTGATAGTGGGCTGATGGGGGGGGGGGGGGGAGGGGCACGAGAGACCGCGCCGCAATGAGACGGAGAAGACGATTACAGTACATGATGTGGCAGGCGTGATCATGCTGGAGGGACAAGGACAACGAACGAAAGTCAGCCCGGTAACGTACATGTACCGGTGCATGCATGCATGTATCTGAATCTATAGTTGCACAATCATGTTCAATTGTTTGTTATGTTGTTTTCTGTTGGTGTTGTTGTTATGTCAAGGGAAATGAAGAGAAACAATAATGATATCATCATCACACGAGTAGAGATAGGATTGGATCATCCGCTGACTCGATGAATGACTCAGCACTCGATATCAGCTTATTGCTGGCGTCAGTCGTGTCACCTACAATAATACTACAATCATGTACATAACTAGGTTATCTTTACCCACAAATGCGGTAGAAGATGCTGAAGGACTCCCAACACTATTTGAAGCCGAAAAGCTGAAAGGTCCACGGAATTGCTATTGATATACAGTGATACACGTGTGCATAAGCACCCAGTGGCATGTTTAGCAGACTGCAAGGTTAATTCAAAAACCTATGGAGTATGAAAACATGTGGGATGCACGATGCAACAACACAATGAGGGTCTACTGTTATGTTGAAAAAACCACTGCTTCACGACTCACGAGGATGACAACGTTCACTTGGAATGTTGGTGTTCGTATTGTTGCTGTGCTCGTCTGGAGAGAACTTTCCGGTGTGTCAACATGAGCTCATCACTCATGCGCGGTCTGTCAATCTCAAGATTTCTCTAGAGCTGTCTGTGTTGTTGTTGCAGCGATCTAACTGATGCTACTCAGCTGAGACTTACGTAACGTCGCTCACTTGCAGCATGTCCTGTGCTGTGAGTGTTACGTGCAGTGGAAGTTAGTTCAGTGAATGACATGTCTGAATACCCTGGCAACCGGAATAATGTCATGCATGTATGTAGCTGTGTGCTAGTAGTTCGTTATCAGGAAAAGAGAGTGTCATGGAACTGCTGCTGAAGCACTGCGGGTGGCCTGGCACATTGACAGCTCTTGGTGTCAATGATACTCCCTTGCTCAATGGAGTCCTTATACAGTAGCAGTGCTTGCACCTGAGTTTCCCACTAATCTTTGACTGCACAATGTTCTGCCTTGTTCCTAGTGCTCAGCAGTTTTGGCGGCTGTCAGTGCTCATGGCCACTAATGCCATGGAGTAATGCATGTTCAGCAGTCCAGTATGAACAGGATGCCTTACTTCTGTCTTGAGCGCTGGGCCGCAGAGCGTCATGAACACGAATCACGGGAGATGATGTGTACATAATGTATGTGTGCGTCTCAGCTGACAAAATGTGCCTCCACGACGGTTGTTTACGGACCTGTCTGCCACTCACTCGTAGGTCTACTCGCTCATACTCAGTGTCCGAGCTAGCTGCCATCACCCTGTCCTCTCACCATGCAAACACGCCACAGGTTCCATGGCAACGAACATTCCTTAGCGGCAGCATCTGGCAACGGGGGGCCGAGCCTCCGGCGACCTGGCATTTCGTTCGGGAATGCGTTGCTAACGGCTACGCACTTCGAACAGCCGCAGGGTGGCAGGTTGGCAGCGGGAAGCCATAAACACTGCTGGGCGCAGATGACTTCGTCAGATATCAGCTGGTTTTCAGTTTGAAAGGTTCGCTGCAAGATCGCTCCCAGGACTACTCACCTTCCCGAAAGGAGAAGACGATCAGCTTGCTTTCTCTTATCTCTTTCCCAATCAAGTACCTTCCTACCCATCACAGTGCAACATGGGTTGCGGAAGTTCACAGTCAACCAACGTCATCCGATCGGCGAAGGTAGCCCCAATGGACGATGCGCCGACCGATCCTCCGCCAATGTCGACCAACGGTGGCTGTGACTCGCTTCGGTCCACGTCCACGACATCCACCACGCCCAGCGAAACGCAGAAGAAGTTTATGACTCGTACCGAGACCTCCGTGGACGGTAAGAAGGCGCCGTCTCCGACGCCGTCCCGCAAATCAATGAAGTCCGTGTCGTCGAAGCGAGCCGGGTCAGGGTTGACCTCCAGCAAGAAGCACAGCGGTAGCAATCGCAGCCTGGTCTCGCTACGTGCCGAAGACAAGCGCAAGCGTGATCAGCTGGCTATGCAGGGTTCAACGTCGTCACTGATACACAAGCAGCAAGACAACAACGACAGGGAAAACGGCAGCACAAGTACGAACAACAAACGGCAGCATTCCACCAGCAAGACTTCCATCCACACCGACGACAGTGGCTTGGGTGGAGGTGCTGGTACAGGAAGTACGGTCAAGATTATCACACCACCGGCTGATGAGCGAACTGTGACTGGCACGGCGGATGAGGACAGACCAGCCACTCCAGGTAACGCATCACTGACTTGGCGCGATAGTGTGATTTCGTGTAGACTGTAGCGGCGGGCGCCACGTGTGTGTGTGTGTGTGTGTGTGTGTGTGTGTGTGTGTGTGTGTGTGTGTGTGTGTGTGTGTGTGTGTGTGTGTGTGTGTGTACATGGTGTGTGTGTATGTGTGTGTAAAGGGGGGGGGGGGTATGTTGAGCCTCTATTGATTTTTGTAACTGTGCCTCATTCACTGAGTCTACGCACAAGAAGCACAAGAACGGCAGGCAAGCAGGTAGACTCTGATATCATGATGAGTGTAATGTTGGGGATGCAAAAAGGAAAACTGAAGTGGAAATGAGCCAAGTGAAGATTACAATAATGTATTCCTATGATGACTTACTGCAGCCACATGTCTAACACTGACTAACAGTAACACTGACTAGAGCCAGTGAGGGAATACAGATGGCATGATAAGGTACATGATTGTATGCTAAAAGCAAGGAAGTCAGTAACAAGCCCTCCTAACAGCTACCATACATTGCCCATTACTCGGCATTAGCAAACCTTTCAATACTGGTACTTGTCACTAACTATTTGTACTCTGGGTGTGTGTGTGTGTTACCCATACACAGAGCTATGCATCGATGGCATGGCCATTACGCCGCGCAAGCCCAGCAGCGCAAGCCGCAGGCACAACCAACTCAGCGCGGAGCCCCTGGAGACGCCGGACAGGGACACGAGCATCATCCAGCGGCCGCCGTCACGAGGTGGCATGGCCTTCGACATCATTACGACAACACCCGACACAGGTAGATACCAGGATATTGCCGCCATAATGTATACAGCTCATCATTGTGTGTACGACTCATCATTGTGCATACAACTCATCATTGTGTATACAACTCATCATTGTGTGTACGACTCAACATTGTGTATACAACTCATCATTGTGTATACAACAACTCATCATTGTGTGTACGACTCGTCATTGTGTATACAACTCATCATTGTGTGTACGACTCGTCATTGTGTGTACGACTCAATTGAGATGGATTGATAGACACCGGTAGATAGAATTCCACATGTACCGTAAAGTCCGGAGCAAACGCCCACTTCGCTGCAAACGCCCACCCCAGCTCGATTGTACTATTTTCGCAATGCAGGGCACACGTACGTCGTCCTGAGGACAAAAATGGTGTACAGAAAGTTCGATTTCGTACGAGTAGACATGAAAACTTGAAAAGCCTACGAACTGCCTATGGCAAAGACTAAAGCAAAAGAAATTTCGCTATGCTCAACATCAAATTCCCGCGGACAAAAATGCACTAACCTCGCCAAGAAGGGACTAACTGCATTCAATCCTTTCGCAGTCGTTCTTGGAAGCGATTGTTTTTTTCCCCATGCCAAGACGCCACAAGTTCGACGTGGAGTTCAAATGCAGTGCTGTAGAATGGCACCGCCTGCACGGCGAAAATGCTATCTCACGTTGCAAGAAGGCAAAATCTCTTCCAGATTGCATAGCCGAAAGAGCATTACAATCGTTCTCGTTTTCGGGTTGCCGACGGAATTCTACAAATTTTGTCCCTGGACATTATAGGCTCTGTGCAGCTCCGACCGGCGGTAACTGCGAACTTCAAAGACAAAGGCAAGGCAAAGGGTATTCATGATGACTGAAGAGGAGCAAGAAAGTTATCCATGAGCGTTTACTGATCGAAAAAAACTTGCTTTGGCACCGCGCCGCTCGAGTGGATTGCGACACTTTCAGTTGAGCCGTAGATCTACGCCCAACAGTGCAGTCTCTATTGATCTATGCGCTTCCAAACTCTAGCCACTACTCGGCTCTAGCTTTGTGCCATAGTTTACCGTAGCAGTAGTCACTTTTCGCTACGGTATGAAGTGAACTTTCAAGTCCGTCCCGTAACATACCCGTAGGATCAGGCCAAAAGTTCAAGTCTCAGCGCGTACAGGCCAGCAGATCTTGCAAAAATGGGGTGGGCGTTTGCTCCGGACTTTACGGTACCTGTAGTTACTTTCTGAAAGCACTACACGATGTTACAGTACCACCACACCGGCGTGTTCCTGGTGATAATTTCTGTGTACAATAAATCGATCTTGATTTTTATTTGTCATGCTATCCAGGCAATGTCCGCCGTGCACCGTCACGTCTGCGTGAGCTGAAGCGAACGCCGAGTCAGGACAAGAACCAGATGTCTGCTGAGAAGCTGAAGGATAAACTGCAAGCAGCTGAGAAGCGCCGCCTGGTAATTTCATGCACACAGTCTGTCAGTGGGCTAGCCTTGTTATAGATGAATTTGTCCAAAAAAACCCACTCCCGGTTCTATTTCCTTTTTAACTCCCTCAAACCAATGGATACAGCTGTAAATATGTTCATAAGTGAAACCATGATCAGCGAGGAATGGATTTTGTGGGTCTCCAGTAATGATCCATGCACTCCCGATTTACATTCATAACCGTGTTGAAGTAGTATGGCATTCATAACCGTGGAAGTAGTATGGCTCCCTGGGAATCCTTGGTCAGGCCTGTCATTTTCTATATTCCTCTTCTGGATAAAGAGCACACACACACTCATGTCTAACTCTCCTTCAACGTCTTTCTCTGCAGCAATATGAAAAGGAGAACGTCATCAGCAAGACTGAGAGCAAGAAGAAGCGTCTCGATCAGGTGCACAATGCGCTGGAGGAGTTTGCGTCTCGCCAGTCCATGCAGACCCAAGGGCGCATGCTGGAGGAGCAGGACAAGAAAGCCGGCAACCGGGAAGCACAGCTGAAGGCACTCCGAGAGCGTCTGAAGGTGAGGCCAGGGCACACGGAATTGCCTTTACCCATTGTGTATGCTGTTGCAGGGATGGCTGGTCGTTCCAAATCCAGCAGGCCACTGAGTCACCTGAGAGCATCGATTTACCCCTGGCATTTTACTATGGCCCGGGTAATAACTTATGTGTATAGTGGGTCCTGAATCACTGAGTCGTGCAGCAGAGACATTCATGCACCATGAACAATACTAGACAATACCCTAATGGCGATACGTATTGTGTGAACCAGGGGATGCCCAAGCAACAGTCACGGACTCCACACTAATCTTGTGTTCTCTTTTTTTAAACCTTTGCCCTGCTTCAGGCGAAAGAAGACCATGCCCGCAAAGTACGAGAAGCCAAGCAAGCACTCGCATCCAGCAACGCCTAATTAGCTCAGGCTGCTTCGAGATTGCTTGCACTGAACCTTACCAAACCATATCTGGCTGGGGCACCTAAGTGTGTCCCACATCCTGGAGATCATCATGCGAACACTGATAGTGGACCTGTATCTGGACTTCCTGTGTGACCACAATAATTAATAATTTAGATTGTTTTGCAGTATACCATAAGTAATTGCCTTGTCAAGCCTAGAGTCTATGAAGCATCTTCTTCACCTACCTAACACCCATCTATCTATTCATGCACCGCATAGCATCTACATGTATGCTATGATGAATAGGAAACGGTACTTGTCGTAGTTCTTGAGTTATCCTCCATAGATTTAGCACAACTTCAAATCTCCCCCCCCCCCCCCCGTAGTTCTTGAGTTATCCTCCATAGATATAGCACAACTTCAAATCTCCCCCCCCCCCCCTCCGCAGAATAATTCGATGTTTATGTAAGCACTGAGCAGTTGACTGTTGAGTGTAAAATGTAGTTCTCAGCTCTGAACAAGTCAACACAACACTTCATAGTGACAGACTGACACATGTATAATTATGTACATCTACATGTACACTTTCCTTCTCTGGTAATTTATTTCTTCTTCAGAACATGCTGTAGAATGTTAATGGTTCTTCTTGATCATTCCATCCCCTATTACATGTACCGGTATGATACGTGTACGTGCACCTCTTTTCTAAATGGATAATGAATAAATTTTTCATCATTTTCAGACTCGTACTCGTTTGCTCCACTCGTGCAGTCATTACAACCATGGCCGTGGAAATGAATGCTTCGACTACCGCCCCGGTAGTCTACAGCTTCCGATTCTTGTTGTTTCAGAATTGGATACTGGTGCAACGGATGCGGATCCACACGTTGACAAAATGACATCAAAACAGCTATAATATTGACATGAAACTTGAAAGTTGAGCCCGCACAGATCATGATCCAGCCCAGTGTGAGAAGTCTCATCTACGCTGTCGACGACGGACGACAGATCAGGTTTTCTGTCGACTTGTACTATCCTGACTACACGTTCAGATGATCTGTGTCTTCGTTTGACACACAGCAACAGCGGACTAGCTGGGGATAATGGCGGTTGTCATTTTTGTGACGATGATGCGCGGGAATCTTCACTGACCCAGGACTACAATCCACCAGAAGTAAACAGCTGGCACAGTCTCGTGGGCCTCCACGCCTCCATGGTCCAGCTAGCCAGCCTCTGCCGCATGTCCGACCCTACGTAGACTGGAAGGGCATTATAAACAAACACATCACTCATCAGTGCAGTGCAGTCAACATAGACCAGAACGACTCCACGAGGTCCACATCACCATCGGCATCGTACCAGCAAGTCATGCACGATCAGTATCAGACTTCAGAGTCGGCACATGCAACCTGGTAACTGCACTGTATGAGCGCGCACATCAGCCAAACTTTTTTCCTAGCCAGGGTTTCTCCTTCACTTGCTTCTTCTCAGTCAGTTCTCGATCGCACCCTTCGTGCAGGAAAGCAGAACACCGTAAACTGTGCTGCTAGTCCGTGCTAGTCCGTGCTGAGTGCTGAGTGTTGGTGCGAATATCCGTACTAGCGATAGCTGATTCATAGTGATTACGAGGTTTCGTACCGTCACTTACGATGAGCTCTGCAGACACCGGTAAGCCAGCATACAGATATCGGGGTGCTCATCTTGCCGGCCTGTTCACTCGGCTACTCAGCTATGGCACTTGAACCAAGAGCATTATTGCTCCTTGGCAGTCGTGAGCGGCTCCTGCAGTCCGTGCAAGTAGTCACGAGCGTGGTCGCTGTTTTCTCTCCTTATTTTTGTGTACCGCCGCTGCTGATCCAGGTCGCCCAGTGTGCATTCGCTGCGAAGCGGACTGCGTCGGCGACACTTTGTACATTCGGGAGGGCCACGTCCACATCAAGTGCATGCGCTGCTACGGTGAGTAGAAACCAAGTCCAAGACCTGATTTACCAAACACGAGAATGTTATGTTTGATTTCCGAAACATTCTCTCCTCGCAATCCCACTGACTCTACTGGTCGTGGCCACGCACCGCTGTTGCCAGTACAATGTTGGGCACTCGTAGACTACGAAGAATGGACCAAAAATGTAATCTCACAGCAGACAATGGATGGGCGATATTTTCCCCGTTCACCAAGCATCGATTCACTCACCTTTGTGTGCAGTCACGGAGTCGCTGCCATCGCTGCAACCGCTGCAACCGCCCGGTCGCCAGCTGAAGCCATCTTCCACCTTTACTTCTCCTTTCTTGTTAGAAGTCATGTTCTTATTCACGGCTTGGGTGGTGGGTGGGGGCAGGATTTGACGGCTGCATGCTCGTGTTGTAAACATTCCCATGCGGCTCATGAGATTTATCGTGAGATCTGCTTGCGGATTGCAACTGTGAAAGGAAGCCTGGAAATAGCCGTAACACGTGCTCATTCCATAATTTTTGTCCGGCACTGTCGGAAAATGGAAGAACTTGGGCAGCGTGAACGCACACTCTTGTCACTGCCAGCACACCACGCCATTCTGGGACTGGGTAAACACACCTGCCCAGTGCAGTGCCGCTCACCAGACTGCGCGCTGAGAATAGAATGGATCTTGTTTAGGGGAAGGACGCTGGCTGGGGTGGGTTGTTCCCTTCCACTGCACTGGAGGATACAGTCAGTACTGACTACTGTTGTACTTTGTAGAGTTCAGTACCTGGTAATGTCATTCTGGGTCAGTGAGTGTGGCTGCTCAGCTGGTACCCAGGAACTACTAGTACATGCAGCACCTCATCTGTGAGTACTCCAGAGTAGGGCATTGTGATCTAATCCCAATTACATGGCCCTTTCATGGTGGGTTCACGCGTTTCTGTGTACTACCAGTAGCCAGTGGAGATAGAGACAGACATGGTAAGTGGTAGAGGGTTTCTATCACTACACTAGTACACTACAATCAGGTATTCACACCCAAAACAGAGCAGGTCTCTAGAGATGCAAGTATTACTATCAGTTTACTGTAGATCTCTGTTTGTGTTTGAAGTGGCAGCTACACACAGTGTGGCGGGCTTGGTTCATTCAGCAGTGGCCCCGGCTGTGGCCCGGCTGTCAATTGATGTTTGATATGTTTACGACCGGATAGAGGCTATGGTACTGGGCCACTTGAATCTGTGAGTGAAGAAGGACTTTGGAACAGTCATAACCTCCTCTCTATCAGCAGCTCATTTGTGGGGGCTGAAAACTCTGTCAAGAGGGTTTCATTGACTTGCACTGGTGCACAACTTATAGAGGTTAGCTTAGCTTAGCTAGCTCTTTCTCTAGTCAGACCGCTCTTTGTGTCATCAGAAGCCAGGGTTGCAAGTGATTATCCATGCTGGAACCTTGTGCTGTAGATGCTAGGTGCTGCAAATGGTCAGTCGCAGAAAGCCAGTGATTCTGCCCTTGTCAGTTCTAAGGCAGGGTATATACATGATATATTAGCAGCGGTGTTTGCTCCCAGGGACAACAGTGCTCTGCGGTGCTTGAGGCAGCGGCCACAGATCAACCAGGGCCTTCCACAGTCCGGAGTCACTACTAGTCTTCAGTTGGTCAGCGGTGTTTGTTGTAGCAAGCCTTTACAGGCATCCCAAGCATAACTGGACTCCAGCTGAGCTGTCAGAGCTTTGGTCCTAACACTTTGCATCTAAGTAGGGTAGTTGGTGTCCCGCGTGCCATCCCTTGTGGCACTGTGTGTAGCGTAGCTAACCTGCTAAGGCTAAGTGCTGTTGGTCATCGGTTTCCTGCTGCTACTGCAAGTCTCTACTCTAGCTCTGTGTGGAGCAACAACGGACGTGTTGCCTATCCTGGTAGATTCCCTATTACTTAGTCAAGTACTCAATCTGGAGAGTTTCAGTGCTCAGCATTCTGTCTGGAGTGGGAAGGAGCAGCAGCAGTAGGTTGACAAGCTCTCTCACCGTGTGTGTCCCCCACTGCACTGCATGCCCTCACCCATACAGTCATAGTCAGCAGGGTGACTGCATTACTAGTGACTTCAGATATGCCCAGCATTACTGTCCAGATTCCGAGACCAGCAGGGAGTGCAACTGCTCACTTCCAACACCATTCTCTAGCTAGAAGCCAGGAATCTCACAACAGTGGAAGCAGCAGTAGGGCTTTGTATTCCAGAGGATGGAGTGCCACCAGCCCACCAGTGGACCAAAGTGGCAGTCCTGCAACTCAACTGCTTCCCTGCCATCAGCAAAAGCAGCCAGTTGCAGCTTGTAACAGTACTGGTAGTGCTGTGTTGCGTTCAAGACCCGGTCAGAGGCGTACCATTCGTGTGGATTGCTCTGACCTAGCAGCAAACCTTGCTGCAGCAGCAGCCAGGTCCTCTGCTGCCGCTCCTCAAACTGCTGACCAGCGACAGCAGCAGAGGACAATGGTGAGAGGCAGTAGCTGTGAGTTTGATGTCTCCCAGTGCACTATTCTTGCAAAAGGCGTGATCATTGTGGACCGCTCAGCAGAGCTCAGCAGCACTGGTGATTTTGGCGGTGGTAGTGTGGGCAGGGATAGAGCGATGAACTGTGCGGGTTTGTGGAGAAAACTGCAGTGTCCACCGGCACGCAAGTCCAGTGGTTATGGACGACGACATGCAGGCCTGCGTAGGTCCAAGTCAGCACCAAGGAGGTGCAAAGGTATGGTGTATACTGATGTAAACTTGGGGAAGTGTGGGGTGGCTTGGGCGTCTGTATGGTGTATAGTGATGCACCATTGGGAAGTATGGGGTGGCTTGCTCAATGGTATGGTGTATAGTGATGTACCATTGGGAAGTATGGGGTGGCTTGCTCAACTCGTGGGTTTGTTACTGCTTTCTATGTTCCTATCCAGTTCTGTTCTTTTTTAGTATCCGTATTTCATAACAGTGTGTTCTGGTGCATGTCATAGAATTTCTCCCTCTTGTGCTGTTGCTGTTGCTGTACTGGTAGTGTTGTTGTTGCCATTAGTTGTAGCATGGTTAAAGTGGTGTCCTCTACTCCCAAGTCTGCTCACTTACATTATTTCACAACATGGCCATGCGCGTTGTCAGCTGTCAAACAGTACACTCAGTCCTGGGTCCTCAGAAACTCTCCTGTCTGCAGATGTTGTTCTTCATGGAGGGCTTGTTTACCCAGCTTTCTAAAAGGCTTTGAAGAATCCTCTTTCAGACAAAGTTCAGTGCTGTTTTCTGGTATGGGACAACTGTTAGGAGTAGCAGACAGGCAGGCCTCACCACTAAGTTAGGCGGTGGCTTGGTGATGTTAATCTATTATACTCAGTAGTCTGTTCCATGTTCCTTATGTTATGGTGTTATGCATGGCCGGTGTTATGCATGGCCGTTCTACTACACTATTGATGTGTATTTGTACAGATGGTGATCCAGTAGGCCGTACACCGGATGGTTACCTGGTGCACACTGGGTGTGTTCTGCTTATCTACTAGTACATGTAACATCCTGTGTTACTATTCCTAGTGCATGTACATGTACATAAATAATTACTAGCACTCACAAAGAGGAAATGAGGCAGGGGTTTCCCCTGTACAAGATCATGAGTGCTCCTTGGAGTACATGTACATGATGTTTTCAAGTTGGTGTCATCACTGTATTTACCACAAGAAGTCGTCTTGTAAAATTCCTCATTCCCTTCATAGGCATTGCAACTCCTTCACGAGTTGTTCTCATGATCTGATCTGGCCGCGTAGGTCATTAATTGTGGCTCTGACTCCTTAGTAGAAAATGGATGGCTAGTTGGGCTGAGAATGGTTATTCTCATAATGCTGGGACTACGGCAGAAGAGGCACTGTACACACTGTATGTTGTATTGTGTTAGCTTAAATATTTCGCTTTAATCGACTCTGTTCTGATGACTGAAGAATGCGCTGTACCTGGCTTTCTTTTGTGACTGCTCGTAGAGTGTGACAAACCTCTAGTAACTGGTGGCTTCTTTATGCGAGATGACAACTTCTACTGCTCGTCTGACTACCAGCGGATGTTCGGTACCCGATGTCAGGGCTGCGGGGACTTTGTTGAAGGTGACGTGGTGGTTGCCCTGGACAAGACCTATCATCAGCGATGCTTCATTTGCCATAGCTGTGGGTGAGTAGTGGAGACACTTGAAGTCCTGGTGGGCCAGGGAATAGTTTTAAAACTTAAAATAGTTTGCTCTCCTGAGTACTGTTTGTAAGGGATGGCTAAGAAACACTGGGGCGGTGTGTTGTTCAAAGTGGCATGAGTGACATGTTAAGTTACAGCTCTCTTGTCCATTTCCTGGTGAAAATCTGTCACTAGTAGTATCCGCGTAAACCCCTAGGTACGAGTAGCAACATGCATAGTCACTTTTCGCCATCATTGAGTCAATTTCAATTCCTCATCCTGCATTTATGCAGCTCAAGGACATCCCAGTAACAATATTGTCATGTTCCATGTGCAGCTTGGTAGCTCGCTGTGCCAATCAATTCAACCAAGAAAGCACCGTGCTGGGGCAGGGATTTGGGGCAGGGGCAGGGATTTGGGGCAGGGGCAGGGATTTGGGGCAGGGATTTTGACATTTTGAAGAGACAGTCACTGGGTTGTAGTAACACTACGTCACACGCACATGGTATTTATTTTGTATGAAAAAATGTGTGTGTGCGTGCGCGCGCGTGTGTGTGTGTGTCCGTGCATGTGCGTCCGTGCACATATGTGTGTGTGAGGGGGGGGGGGTAGGTGTTTGCATGTCATGGTTCGTTTTGTGTAGGTGTCTGTGCCCATACCGGCATAATAAATACTATTTTAAAAGACTAGAAGTGTTCACATCGTGTTTGTGTTCTTCAGGAAAGGCTTTCCCCCAGGAGAATCGGTTACCATGCAAGGAGATGAGTGTATTTGTGAGAACTGCTTCAACTCTTCCAGTGATCAGAACGAGAGGAGTAAGTTGCTTATTAATCACACAGGCTGTCCTACTTCAGTTGCAATGACCAAGTTTCTAGTACTTTTTAGAAGCCCACGAAAGTTACTACTGTACCGAAATTGTGTGTATCATTATACTGAAATTCACAAAAGTTAGAGGCAAGTAGTACTAGCTTGACGCTTTGTACTAAGTTTGTAACCAATGATATTGCGTACCCTGTTGACACGAACCTCAATGTCTGCAAACTACGGTTGTTTAGAGGCTATAGTGCATTCAAACAGTCTGTGTTCATGCGTATGGACATGCATGCATGACCATTATAGGCTGGGCTGAAGTGCAAGTCGTAACTCTTTGCGTTGTCTACTCATTGTGACGTTAGGGTGTGCGGGTTGTGAGGAGGAGATCAAGAGTGGTCAGGCATTGCTGGCTCTTAACAAGCAATGGCACGTCTTGTGTTTCCGCTGTCAACACTGCGGTGACATGCTGTCCAGTGAATACATGGGAAGGTATGTGCAACCCCTACAAAGCCTACCCTATGTTGCTTGTTCAGGCTGTGTTATTGCGAGCTGGGCTGTATCATACGTGCCCCCCCCCCCTACCTCCTTACACTTCCAAACAAATCGCTTGGCCTTTGACAATATGATATGCAGAACTTGGCGGCATTCAGATTCAACATGCAGAACTGTAGTGCAGCAACAACCGGATGCTGGTCACGTGATGCTGGTCATGTGATGCTGGTCATGTGCAAGCACTGTTCTCTGCTGTACCATATTTCTTTTGTGTGCATTTACACCGTCAACGCGTACAGTACTGTCGGTCGCCGAAGAACTGGGGGGGGGGGGGGGGGGGGGTGTCAGCCTCCTAGCCTAGACAGTTCTTACTGTCATGTATTACAGTCTGTGCGCAGTCGAGTCACCGTGTATACATTGGTATGCTGTGCTTGATGAAAATTTAGCCTGGTCGTTCTTCGGCGCTGCGTTCTTTGCCGCCCGATAGTACTGTACCGTATCTCAGTACCGATTACATAATATGAGGACAAATAAGTATGACGTCCTGAAACACTGAGTACTGAGCTGCGTGATACAGTAGTATACAATGGCAGCCACAGCAAACAACCGTTCTGTGTAGTTCTCTCTCCTTCGAACATAGTGTCTTTGCTGCATGCGCCGCCTTGACTCTGCAGGAATGGCCAGCCTTATTGCGTACGTGACTATCATACGTTGTTCGGTGTCAAATGTGCGGCATGCAACTGCTTCATCACTGGCCGAGTTCTGCAGGTGAGCCCCAGTGTAGCTGTGTGATATAAGCATGTTGCTGGTGAAGACAAAACGTGGACGTGTGCGGACTTCTTACACGTAATGCACTTACCCACTTTACTCGTAGCATGTCGATCCAAGGTCGCAGAGTAGCTGGCTTGAACAATCTTGCTCTAGCAAAACATGTACAGTGTGGCTGAGTGCGGAGAGTGCTGGACCTAATGACCACCATGGGACCATGAAAACCGTGTGTCCTCAGGCCCTAACAGTGAGACTAGGTATGTGCACGTGCGTGCTCGCACTGTTGCTTTGGAGAGTGATTCGCCTTTGGTTGGTTGTGTTAGGGACAGGTGTGTTTGTGGGGTGGCAGTCCGCTGACCTCAGTTTTACCGTTTGTCTGTTGTTGACTTTGTCTGTTGTTGACTTTGTCTGTTGTTGACTTTGTCCAGGCGGGAGAAAACTTCTACCATCCTCACTGCTCACAATGTGTGAAATGTGGCGGTTCATTTGGTGAAGGAGAAGACATGTATATTATGCGTAAGTTGCATTGCAAACGTAATTAGCACATGCGGGCACTTGGAGTTTGAGACTGATTACTGATAATAATTGATATCCCCACAGGACGTGTTTGATTGTTAGTTTGTAAAGCCGTGAGCTGCGTTGTCGTGCTCTTCTTGTGCAGAATTTAATGGCAGCGCTCTTTCTCGATGTGTCTGTTTGATACAGATAATGATGTGTGGCATCCGGAGTGTGGGCACCTGCCAAACCTGAGCGACTCCAGTGAGGTAAATACAACCACTATCTGCAGTTCCTTTTGTTTCTTGACTTGTAATCTGCATAGCCCGGCGGGGTGGATGTAGATTGTGGGTTTATCTTTCACAAGTGTGAGGACTCCTGGTATTATCCCCGTCTGTGCATGCTCTACTAGTTCTTGTTCTTAGATCTTATGGGAGTATTGGCATTTGTCATTGCTGTGATGGCCGAGTGGTTAAGGCGTTGGACTTGAAATCCAATGGGGTCTCCCCGCGCAGGTTCGAACCCTGCTCGCAGCGTCCTTTTTTTATTGCCGTAGTTTTTATGGTTTATGTACAGTCTACTCGCGATAAGTCACGCACTTTTAAGTCACGCACTCGCGATAAGTCACGCACTTTTTCATCCAGGACACCCATCTCAAGATTTATTTAATTTTCGGGATTTTGTGGATTTCGCGAATATTTGCGAATGATGTGGTTTTCAATGATGGAGCTTGAATACTGTAAAGGTAAGAATATAATTATTATGTGCATATTGTATGAGAGCCTTCTCCCTCAGGATCACCCACGACAATCCAAGTTTGTCAGTCACAAACTTCTCCCTTCGAAGCAAAATATATTTTACTAGCCGCTCCTCAATTTTCCCGAACTGGGAACTTCTGTTGCGGACTCCCTGTGGACCAGACGGATTAGCATCGGCGAGTTTGCCAGCTTTAGCATCCCTCAGCCAGCCGCGGAACATCGCCTCCGGAACATTGTTCAACTTCACAAATTTTCGAGCGGAGGGTTTTCCACTCTCACGATAGAGACGAACCAAACGCAGTCGATCAGCCACTGTTCACTGTTCTTTCGTTTTCTTATGAGAAGGCATCGTCAAGCAAAGGGAAACGAAGTGTTTACACGACGGAAACAGAAATGCGTCTTGTCAAATCCCTACCAAAACGGCAAAAGTAACGGAACATCGTTCTTGTCTTTCTCGATCATGGCTTCACGCTGTGGTAGATCTACGTCTCGTGTGCAGCATGCAGTGTACAGTCAGTGTAGACTACAGACAGTACAGTGTCAGTGTACCGTGCGCATGCAGCTCAGTGCTTGTACGCGTGTTCAGCACACATGTCCATATGCAGAAGAAAAAATGACGGCTGTACATATGCATGACGTGGTGCATAATGTAAGTCGCGCACTCGCTGTAAGTCGCGCATTTTCTATTCCAGGACACTGTACGTGACTTATCGCGAGTAGACTGTATCGCAGACTACAGTCCATTTCAAAACTATAGACGCGTACCTGGGCAAAAACCGTTATGCCAGCATCTATACCACATAAAATCTGTGATCACTTTGTGCATAAATTTTTCCAAATTGGGCGTCTGTTATCCAATCGTTTAGAAACTATATGAGAGTAATTGTGGAGCGGACCTGAGCAATATTCCGAAAACTATTCCCAAAAAGTTCCAGCCAAATTTGAAATATTTCAAAAACACTGCGTGTCTATAGTTTTGAAATGGACTGTTGAGCAATTATCCCCAGCCTGGCATGTGGCCATGGACTTTCCAGCTCATTGGAAAGCTGTCACAGTGCTGATGTTAATTTAGTAATTTGTGTGACACGTGCATACATGCAACTCCACGTGCACCGTCATCAAAGAAATAAGCGTTGTCCGACCAGTCATCACTCGCCTGGTTTGGTATTCTGAGACACACAATTTGTGCTCAGCCCTTTATAGATAACAGGAATGGGGAGGAGAAGGGGTTGACAAGGGGTTGGCAAGGGGTCACGGGGCAGAGCAACAATGGGCACTACTAGTATAGTGCGGATGGGGTTTGTGCATCAAGAGTCGCAGCCGATATAGCCTTTGTGTTTACATGTTTGCGTCACTGCAGTCGGCAAGTCTGGGGTACGAGTGCACGGAACAAGGTGAGAAAGGTAAGCAGCACTGTGATGTATAGGACGAGAGAATATTCTATGTGATGTCCGTCTAGCTGTCATGTAATCTCCATGGTGCTATCATGCGATCCCTATGTTGCTATTGTGCGCAACTTTGAACTATTGAGTGGGAGAGCTTGGATAGCCACGCACAAATACGTCTTGGTAACTCAAATATGGAGTGGTTCCGGTTCACGGAACGACATTGCACTTGTTACTTGAAAGGATTAGGTGACTTGAAAAGGAGTGTCACCAGAAAACCTTATTTGAGACAAGTTCTAGCTAGTTGAGTACAAGTAGAGACAAGTGAAGCATGCAAAAGGGAAAAGGCAGCAAAAAAGGAGCGACAGGCTCGCTGCGCATGCTCCGGGCTGAGAGCTGCAAAACGGTGCGCGCGATGCGTGCAGCAAGACATCAGCATGACGTCAACATGATGTAACACATAAACAAATAAAGACATAATAATGAGCGTAACGCGGATTCGTGATGCATATTCACGACACTCCCCGGGCATTGGCCGGAGAACAGAATTAACCATAATATTAATAACAAGGAGAAATTTCACACAAAACATGTGGAAAGATAACTGAAGAGCATAAAGAATGCGAGAGTAATGAGAGCGAGCGTGCGCTTGCGCGCGCGCGAGAGAGAGAGAGAGAGTTAAACACGGCCGTCGGCGATCAAATCCTGCAAGTTGGACTGAAACTTGCTGGCAGCGGCTCGTGTCGGTCTTCGTACGACTGCAACGGGAGTGCTAGTCTTCTGAGCTGGGGTAGCTGAGGATTCAGAGGTACTGCTGGTCTCCTGAGCTGGGGTACCTGGGGATTCCGAGGTACTGCTGGTCTCAAGCGGACACAGTAAGCTTACTGGCCGCTTGATGGTACGTTTGTCCGAAGTGAGGACGGTGGCCGAGCGGATGTTGCCATCGCTGCTGGTGTGTACTTCTTGGATTCGTCCAAGGCGCCAGTGGCCGCGAGGCAACTCCTCCTTGATGAGGACAACGTCAGCAGGCTTCGGAAACGTTGAGGATCGAGTCCTTGACTGCTTAAAAGACGACGTGTGGGCTTCTCGCAGACTGAGGAGGTACTCGTTCCTCCAGGCGAGCCAGAACTGATCAAGGTGTCGTTGGCCCTTCTTCCAAAGGTCCAACAGGCTGTCTGCAGAGGAATTGATAGGCTGATAATCCGGGTCGGTCGGGTCGTTGCTGACCGTGAAGAACCCCTGTGTGGCAGACAGGCTGATGAAATGACCAGGCGTCAACACTGTGCACTGTTCTTCGTCGACATAGACTAGCGGCCGAGAATTGACGACAGACTCAACTTCTGGCAGGAGAGTGGCGAGTTGGCTGGTTGTGAGGAGGCGTCTCCCAATGGTCTTGCGCATAGAACGCTTGACAATACCCACAAGCCTTTCATACATTCCACCCATCCACGGAGAGTTGGCGACGATGAAGTGCCACTGGATCTGATGGCGGCTAATGTAGGACGTAACACTGGTGTCCACCACAATGTTGCTCCAGGCAATGTCAAGAGCGGACTTGGCCAGCTTAAATTGGGGAGCGTTGTCAGACACAACTAGCTCTGGCGTGCCACGGCGGGCGACGAAACGTCTCAATGCGAGCAGAAACTCGGCAGCTGTCATGTCGTGGACTGGCTCCAAATGAACAGCTCTGGTCACCATGCACGTGATCAGGCAGACCCATGCCTTAGCGGTTCCTGACTGTGTACGGACGAGGACTGGGCCAAAGTAGTCCAGGCCGATGTGTGAGAATGGTCGCGCTTGGGTCACCCTGGTAGAAGGTAGCAGACTCATCTGAGGTGTCTTGTATGGCGCGCCTTCGTAGCGAATGCACGTCTGACAGCGGCGCACGAGGGCCTTTACAGCTGATCTGCCTTTCGGGATCCAAAACTGATATCGGACACGGGATAGTGTGTGCGCTACGCCGCCATGCATGACCTTGAGGTGGCAATCACGTATGATCAGGTTGGCAATGGCGTGTTCCTTGGAGATCAGGACGGGAAACCTCGATTTGGAGCAGAGGTCAGCATTCTCCAGTCTTCCACGGCATCTCAGTACTCCGTTGTCGAGCACTAAGTTGAGCTTAGTTGCCAGCGGATGTTGCTTCCCACTGGACAGAGCGGTGATAACATCTGCATAGTGTGCAGACTGGCTGTGGCTGATCCAGACTTGCTCTGCTGCTTCGATTTCTCTAGGCGTGAGAGGTCCAGATGGAGTTGGTTTCTTCCGCAGCCTACAGAGGAAACGAAAGCAAAGTGCAGACACACGCACTAAAGAGTCGAACGACGAGAAGTCGTTCACAACAATGCCATATGGGAATGCATCAGATTTTTTATTTGTCTGTGAACCCTGACCAAATGGCTGACCCCCCGACCCCTTTGAGGTGACTTCCGGAGGACCCTCCGCCGGCGCAACAGTGACGGTTGCTGCAGTGGTGCCTTCAATCGGTAGGTTGGGGCCGTTCCACCAGGCGTCGCATTTTAACAAGGCTGCGGCGCTCAATCCACGGGATGGCAGGTCGGCTGGATTCAGCTTTGTCGGGACGTAGTGGTGGAGAACGTCTGGAACGGCTGCGATGGCGTTGACGCGGTTCTGCTCAAAGACGGGTAGCTTCGTGGACTTGAGCCAATGGAGTACAGTCGTTGAGTCGGTGTACAGATGAGTGGCTTGGAATTGGATGTCCAGTTGCTTGCGTAGATACACGATAAGGCGAGATCCTAGGCTTGCCGCCATCAACTCTAACCGTGGGATCGTTTGACCCTTGACGGGAGAGACCTTCGTCTTGCTGAAGATAATATGGCGCTGACTCCTATCACCGACAGTGCTTTCCAAGTACGCAACGGCAGCATAGGCGATCGCTGACGCATCGCAGAAGACGTGCAACTGATACGACGGACTCTTACATGTGGGTACGCCGACGTAGCGTAAGATTGGATAGCTGCTAGACTTGTCAAGGTCGGCGGCTATTGGGTGCCAGCGACTGAGGACGTCGGAGGGCAGTGGGTCATCCCAGGACACAGCAAGCTTCCAGATATCTTGCATAAGAACCTTCGCTCTGATGGACACGGGGGCGAACAAGCCAAGCGGGTCGAAGAAGCGAGACAGTGCCTGTAGAACCTGGCGTTTCGTAGTGACAACAAGGTTAGCTGCATTAGGCGACTGTACGGACAAGACATCCTCTCTGGGGTCCCAATGGAGACCAAGGCATTTCTCGCGAGTGCTTCTTGAGCGATCGTGTTCTGGGATCTTGTCCAAAACCTCGGAAGAGTTTGATGCCCACTCTCTAAGGTTCATGCTGATTGCGGAGAACGTCGCCTTTGCTGATTGATAGTGAGCGACAGCATCGTTGATGGTGTCCTTGCCCAGGATGATGTTGTCTACGTACGTGTTTCGGAGAATGTCGTCTGTCTCCGGTGAACAGGTCTGCGTGAGGTGGTACTTGATCGTTGCAGACAGCAGGAAAGGGCTGGAAACAACACCGAAAGGGACTCTACAGAAACGCAGAGTTTGGAGATTGCTGTAGTTGACTGGTTGGTTGGGGTCATCCAACCACAAGAAACGAGTGACATCACGATCGGCTACGTTCAAATTCATCTGTAAGAACGCCTTCTCGATGTCACTACAGACGGCAATAGGGTGCATGCGGAAACGCAGGAGAATGCCGCAGAGATCAGGGATCATGCACGGCCCAGGATACAGACAATCATTGAGACTGGGCGAAGTCTTCGATACACGAGCGGATGCGTCGTACACGACACGGATCTTAGTGGTGCTGCTGGACAGCTTGAGCACACAGTGATGTGGCAAGTAGTGGATTGGATGCGAGTTGTCTCTCTGGCTGGGAAAAGCAACGCGTTCGATGATACCAAGTGACAGTTGCTCTTCAAGTACCTTGCTGGACTTGACGAAGGTATCAGGCTCGTGACGGAGACGTTTAATGAGTGACTTCAAACGTCCGAAAGCAAGTGGACAGTTGTTTTCCAAAGGCGGATGTTGTTGTCGCCAAGGCCACCCGACGGTGTACCGTCCGTCCTCAAACACGACCGATTGGAGGAAGTCGTCATACGCATGATCGTTGCTGGGGCGTGTCGCACTGAGAGAGTCGAAATCTTCAACAGCCCAGAAGCGCTCAAGGTCAAACGAGGGATCTTCTCGTCGATGACTTGCTACGGCTAAGGTGGTGTTGCTCTCGATTACCGAACAGGCGTGCTCAGTTGCTACTGTGCCGGCGCAAACAAAACCAAGTGACGAGTCCAAAAGCTGCAGGCCATCGGGAAAGGAGATGCGGTCTGTGCCCAGGATCTTGTAGTAGTGATCAAGACCAATGAGGATGTCGATACACAGGCGATCGTTGGATGACGTGAGCGGCTCCGCAAGAGGAAGGGTGTTGAGGCTCGGGTGTCTGTTGGTGTCCAAGGGGACGCGCCATATCGGTGAAGTGACTTGGGGAATCACATTGGCGGACAGCGGAAGGATTGAGCCATTCTTCAGTTTGAGATTGACCTCGACGCGTGGGTACTGAGACGTGTTCCTCGATGCACTACCGAAAGTAGAGAGGGCAATGTGACCTTGACCTAGAACACTGAGGTTGGCTTTCGCCTGGAGCGCCTGCGTGACGTACGACCGGCAAGAGCCACTATCGAACAGTATACGTGCAGACAGCGTGGTCGGGGTACCGGAAGAGTTGGACACTACATCTGCAACTGCGGTTTGCATGATGACGGACTGGTTGTCGCCTGCGACTGTGGTAATGGCAGAACGTGGCTGGAAAGGTGCCGGGTTGGCACACATTGCTGAGCTTGGTTGTGCACCAAATTTCACGGGACACAAACTGGAGTGGTGGTCAGGCTTACGACAATAGAAGCAAGGCTTCTGCAGACTACATGACGAAACACTGTGGCCTGGCCGTAGGCACCGTTGACACTTGTCGCCGAGGCGTGGTTTCCTTGTTTCAAGTGTCCTATACTTGGAACACATGTCGGAGTAGTGACTTTCCCTGCAGAAAGCGCAGACTTTCTTTCTTGGCAGTGACTGGCGACTCGACTCGCCGACAAGAAGTACGGACGACTTATGTACGGAAGACGGCTGTTCATGTTTGCTGCTGGCGGCATGACTGGATTGGCGCTCGGCTGTCTCCTGCGCTACTATATACGCACACAGCTTGACTCTCAGCTCGGCGACAGACCATGGATCGATGCCTTTCTGCAACTCAAGTTGCGCAAGCACGTGACGCGGAAGCTTGCTGGTCATCAGTGAAATGAAGATTGGTTGGTCAGTGTCTTCTTCAAGAGCGTTGAGACTGCGTAGATGTAGTTCTACCGTATCGTACAGCTTACGGAGCGAGGAGGGCTTGTTGGTTGCCGGTGGAGTTTCCATCAGGGCGACATGGTGAGCATTAACCTGCACCTGCGTGTTGCCATAACGCTCGTCGAGCAGGCCAAGAGCAACAGCATAATTTGCATCTGACAGAGACAAACCAGAAATGGTGTCGAGTGCATTGTGTGTCACATGCTCCTTTAGATAGGAAAGCTTCTGTACATCGCTTAATCCAGTGTGTTTGTGTACAGATGCCATGAACATGTCGTGGAAAGACTTCCATTGCAGGATGTCACCGTTGAATTTAGGTAAACCTAACTTTGGTAAATTGACAGTGGACTTGTGAGATGCTTGAGTGGTGAGTGATTCACTATGCTGTTGTAGCAGAGATTGCGTTTGTTCCTGTGTTTGACGATGCATGGTGAGTAACTCTTTCATCTGGCTTTGCATTAGCTTGACAACTGAGTCGTCGTCCGATTTGTTAGTACTCGACTCTGGAGAGGTCTGACAATCTGCTGCTGATTTCAGTTGAGAAATTCGGAATTTGAGCTTTTTGATCACGCTCATAGCTTCAAACTGGAAGTCCAGATTATCGTCTGCTTCCTGTTTACAAGCAGCTTCGTCAGAGCTCTCCAGGGCGGAGGAATCAACACAATTTGACAAAAGTTCACAGACCTCATCAAATGCTACGACATCGGACTCTAAAGATGCACATGTTTCACTTAGCTTTTCTGCTGTTGAAGATGAGGGAGCTCCAGACAATAATGCATTGCCGTCATCGAGGCATTGCTGGATGCTCTTCCGCAGTCGAAGTATCTTGCCCCGATACCGCTTAGTTGATGCCGGATTAGGAGCATCGGCACTCGAAGCCTTTTTTGGTGGCATGTCCCGGGTTTCGGCACCAAGTTTGTGCGCAACTTTGAACTATTGAGTGGGAGAGCTTGGATAGCCACGCACAAATACGTCTTGGTAACTCAAATATGGAGTGGTTCCGGTTCACGGAACGACATTGCACTTGTTACTTGAAAGGATTAGGTGACTTGAAAAGGAGTGTCACCAGAAAACCTTATTTGAGACAAGTTCTAGCTAGTTGAGTACAAGTAGAGACAAGTGAAGCATGCAAAAGGGAAAAGGCAGCAAAAAAGGAGCGACAGGCTCGCTGCGCATGCTCCGGGCTGAGAGCTGCAAAACGGTGCGCGCGATGCGTGCAGCAAGACATCAGCATGACGTCAACATGATGTAACACATAAACAAATAAAGACATAATAATGAGCGTAACGCGGATTCGTGATGCATATTCACGACAGCTATCATGCGATCCCTATGTTGCTATCATGTGATCCCTATGTTGCTGTCATGCAATCTCGATGTTGCTGTCATGTAATCCCTATGTAATATGTTGCTTTCTTGCGATCCCATTGTGCTGCTGTTAGCAATCACCTGCAATGCATGCCGGTGGGTTGCCTGTCCTTGCATACCTTGGGAAAAGAGTAATTAACTGCATACGTATAATTTTTTTAAATTCTTGGAGTGTAACGTTGTTGGACCTCATCGTCTTGGCCAACTCTTCTTTGTGTAGGTCGAGTTCCCATGAAGAGTGCCAGTCCCATTAGTGTCTCATCAGCGGCCTCCTCGCCTGAGCCAAGTCCGGCTCAGATGGCATCGGAGATTTCCAGGGCCACGCGGCTGGGAAGTAGGCGAAGTGTTGGAGAGGCTAGCGATCGATCCAGCGGCCGAGGTGAGTGGATTCATCGGGGAGATTCGGAAATGGATTACCCCCTCACTGACACACACACACACACACACACACACACACACACACACACACACACGTATCACACACACGCATACACGCATACACGCATACACATACATACCGTGAATCTTCTCTTCACGATTGTAAGGGGTCTCATATTCTTAATCTGAAAAGCAATCCAGTTGGAATTTGTGAGGATCTGGAGTCTGCATGTAGTAGAACCTGTGATTAGCAACCAGCCCCCTATGGTACATAGAAAACCAGTCTTTATAGACAGGTGGTCTTTCAACACAGGTTCAAGTGTTCATGTACCTACAGCGCCGCTCACTGAAATCTGATCTAGTGAGTCAAGTATGCTGGTCGGGCGCTGTGCAGTCCTAGACCTGTAAAGACTGGGATGAGAAGTGTCGCGGGTTGCAAACTTGACGCACGCGATCAGACTTCATTGAGCAGCACTGTACGTGGTGTTGGGTGTTCAAATGACTGGTCTCACAAGACAGGTGGTCTCCCATCACAGTGGTTGCTATGTACAGGTGTTTGCTGTATTGTTACACACAGGGTTTTTGCTGTATTGTTACACACAGGCTTTTCCTGTATTTACATGTAGTTTCATAACATTGTACAGGAGAGTACAACTTCCCAATGTCGCTGTTTCTAATCCTGTACAGAAAGTGCATCAAGTGGCAAGCTATTCGACTGGAGATCGCGCTACTCGGTGGACAGCAGCACTAGCAGTACACCCAGCACAGCGCACACCGAGTCACCCGCTGTAAATGAGGTTAGTGTTGCAGCCCCAGGGGCGTGGCTGGTCCCCCTTTCAGGGGATGCACGGTCGCTTCGCCACTCATACGTGTAGGATGGCTGGTGCATGTCATCATGGTCATTATTTGTAGGTCGAAATGTTTGAAATGTACACTTGGCCCCCGTGCCCTATGCAGGCTACATGCCTGGGCCTTGTGGCGGTTGCTCAACTGTACACACCTGCTGGCAGGCGTGAATTTCGGTGAGATTTCATGAAACCACATACCAGCAGTGCATAGGCTAGATGATGCTTGGAAGCACAGTGTTACTTCCGCTGTCTCCGTGTGTGTTAAGTCAGACTGGTATTCATCTCTGCAACTGTGCTGTGTGTATGCATGTGTGTGTGTATGTGTGTACATGTGCGTGTGTGCACATTTTCTTCCTGTATATTGTGCAGCTAAGAAGGCAATCGCTTGCCAGTGGTGTATCTTCAGTCAGCAGCAACCAAGGTCAGTGCTGGTCCTTAGCAGCTACTTCTCGGCATTATCAACACATTGCACTGCCGGTTATTCATGTGGCCAGCTAGTGCCCTCAATACAAGTGATTCATGTTGCTAAGTGTGGGTTGTTTGGGAAACACTTCTACTGGTGTAGAGGAGTTCATATGTTGATGCATTGTTGGTCACTGTTGGAGGGTAGGAAAGGGGAAGGGGGGGGGGGGGGAGGGGGGGGGGATGAGATTTGCAATTTATGGGGACTGTTGGTCGACAAGATTAAGAGTATGAGATCACTAGTTGGTAATTACCCTCCTGTTTTACATTATTATCCTCTGTGATATATTAGGAAGTTCCCGGCTGTCAAATTCAACATCTGGGTCGAAACTGATGTCGTCAATGTCAACTGATTCCGTCGAGGTAAGATTGGGACACAGCTGACCCACCTTAGCTTGAATGTATATCCCGCGGTTCCCCGCCACAATGGGTAGTCCAATTTGTCCGTTTCCGTGTATCCCCTTCCAATGGGAAATTGAGGTTGTCCATTTAAGCGTATACCCTTTCAATGGGCAATTCAAGTTGTCCGTTTCCGTTCTATCATTGACTACCTGATAGCCGAGAAGAGTTTAACCAACAAATACAGTTTTACTACTGGGTGCTGAATTTGAAGCACGGTTGATGTCGTCTCAAGCATGTTTTCCATCTCTTCCATTACCAATCGTGCTGCAGAACAATGAGCTAGCACCCGGAAGATGGCATCGGTCAAGTCTGGGTTCCGAAAGTAGACGCCGCCTAACCAAGGAGTTCTCGGAGGCTGATGAAATCTCGCCTATCACCGAGGTAGGGTAACTTTCACAGGTAGCGGTTTGTTTACATGGTGGTACTGCCGTGTACAACCTGTTGTCAGTATTGTTGGTGCCTGTCGAGTTGGACTAATTCAGACTGCTTTTCTTTTAGAAAAGCGATCCTGTCAGCTTTTCTATTATTGTGTTAATCAATGCAGCGTGCCTCTAAATCCACCACCCATTCTCGCCTGCACTATAGTTACTATGGCTCATTTCACATTGTACCAGTTTCTCGTCAGGCCACTGTACATCTCGTATTATGTGACACTGTGCATTATAACGTTACATGTACTGGTAATCATTCCCTACAAAATTATACATTAATTGCTTCATCTGATCTGATGTGATTGTCTTGCAGGTGTTCCCATTGGACGTCCTTCAAGGCGTGGATAGCATTCGGCTACCGAAGAGCGTTGATCGCACCAGATTAGAGGTAAACGATAAATACCAGTAATATCAACATGATTGTGGCACTTTTCTAAAATTTGTGTTTGTGAAGGCTTCAAAGAAGCTCTCTGTTTGAACTACACATTGCGTAGAAATTGGACCCGTCGAAAACATTTCACAAACAAGGCCAAACAAGGTACAGGTTTCAGTAGTGAATGCAGCTGTCTGCTGAAATGCCCGAAACTTGAAGTTACAACTACACAGCATTAAATGTTCGCCTCTTCCGTTGAATGTGTCAAAAAGCCTTTCATGTCGACCTGGTGCTAAGGCTGCAGATGCTCTTGCCACCCTTGTGCTGTAGGAGTATTTGAGCGAGGAAGACTTTGTGAAGACATTCGACATGCCGCGCGAGGAATTCAAGAGGTTGCAGGTGTGGAAGAGACGCGAGATGAAGAAGAGAGCACGTTTGTTCTGAGCTGTGCGAAACAGCCCAGACCCAACCTTCATCTAGTAACGTTGAGTTCACAGATACTGATATGGCTATCAACATAACTTTGACACTTACGGAATATCTAGCTTCTTTATAATACTAATAGCTCTCAGAGTCTGTATAGAACTATCCTACAATCCCCATGTGTAGTTGTCTTTGTCACTACGCTATTGAAGATAACCCGTAGCAGGCATGCTTCGATAAGACTTGATCGGCCCTTTTGAGGCCATAATACACACTCTGTGCAAAGGCCGTGCCTATTCTCGATGCATGCGTTGAGGACATTCTGACAATTAGATAGCTTTGCGCAAGAAAGTCTATTTTGTTTCTTACTTTCCACTGGTGTGGGTCAGAGTTTTCAATATAGCCTCACACTATTCTCCCAATGTTGAAGACCTACAATGAAGCTAAGTTAGCCAAGGTATTTTGGTTTTATTTACCAGCTATGTTTATGCAGTACTATTTATACGTGAGTAATGCGCCAAAAGTCTACCACGGCCTATCGTCGTGGATTACAAACATTTCAAATGTTTGCATATTATGAACTTTGTGCAAAAAATCAGCTGCCGTTTGGCTACCTTCACCTCCTCTGTGTCTGTTTGAAAGGTACACTAGTTTTGCACTCAGATGCTGTTATGGGGGTCACTTTCAGAGGCCATGTTGCTCCAAGAATTGCCCCCTGCCATGGCTAACTTGTGGCTCGAAGCTCCTAATGAAGTCGTGATTTGAATGCCACATTTCCTCATTATGGAGATATGACTCAGTAACCATGGTAACTCATGATTGTGCTCTTGTCATGTCTTAGTAAGTGGGCCATTGGTCTCTACTGTAACTATGGTAACTGTTTGCTGCAGTTCCAACACTTGCACTGTCCCATTCATAGAGTTTGGGACATGAACACAGAGTGCATCAGGTTTGGGTAGGTTAGATGCGCATGCATAGTTACGGAGTCCATCACCGGTTGGAGCATCAGAACACGCACATGGATTCACTTACATACACAGACGCACACACACGCACATGCGTACACACACACCATAAACACACACACACACACACATACACACACCATGTACCACATGCACACACACACACACACACACACACACACACACACACACACACACCTGTCCTGTCCTGTCCTGTAGAGCCACTGCCACAGGGGTCACGTGGGCCCCGGAGGGGCATCAGAGAGGAAGATGGAGCACGCAGCCTGATGACGCCGGAGATGGTGGGGCAAACGGAACCGGCGAGAACACACGCATACATGGCTGAACGAATTACGCTGCTGGGCAGTCGGGCACGGGCCAGTCCTCGAGCACCGGTGACGACCGCGGCCTTGCACAGACCGAAAGCAGCGGGCACACACAGCACAGTGCGCAGCACAGCAGGCATCCTGCACATAGACTTGCCGGGGCTCGGGAGGCTGAGGCTGAGGTGCGGAACAGCGGTGAACAGCTAGACCACCCTTGCTGCGAAACCAACGCCCACAATCTCCACAGTGGCAAGCCCCTCGCTGCTCAGCAATCGGCTTTGCCCGCAAAACCACACATTTGTGGCGAGCACGATCTCCAGGGCGCGAGAATGACCGATTGCAATCCGCACATACCACTGGGTCAGGCTGAGGCACATTCTCCACAGGCTCGGCGTACATAGTCCGCCAGTCAGCGCGGGACTCACAGGCGATAGGGTACCATTCCTTGGTGAGGCCACGAACTCTTAGGTCGCACACACACGCACGCACGCGCGCGCGCGCGCACGCACGCACGCACGCACGCACGCACGCACACACACACACACACACACACACCCAGGTAGATACAGTACACCCGGCCTGCACATTGACGCCCTCTGCTCCTGATGTGTAGGTGGATCGACCAAATCTGCACTTTGTGTCCTTATAGCTAATATAATAAATTTAAATAATCAATGCACCGTAAAAGGCGTGGGAAAAGAGAATGGCTGCGATACAACTCAACTTGCAAGTGCAGCTTTGATTATTCAAGATGTTTCTTCAAAGTTCTGAGGGACATCTATGCAGCTTCATTTGTTGCTGATGTTTCTTATTATGTCAACAGGCTTTATATAAAGCAGTTTGCCCAGCGCCAATAATTTATACTATGCTGTTGTTAGCTCAACCACGCCACACCGCGGCAAAATATAGTGAGTCATCATTTATTATCATGTGGGGTTCATTGCGCTGCAACATTCTCATAAATTCTGTTGTGTGCCTCGATGACATGGCGACAGGGCTGCGGACAGGCAAATGGACACAGGTGTTTTGCTCCTGGGGACTTTCTGATCAGTGACTTGCGAGGGCGAGGCGTTGGCATGGGCATTTTCGGATGTCCCTGGGTCGATTGCTTCTTTAGCACCGGTTGAAGCCATGGAGTGGGGGTGGCAGTATGGCCGGTGGTGATGGTGGGTTTCATGTGTGGCTTGTGCCTGGCCCTGGACGGCCTTCTGCTGTGTCTGTGGCGACTTGACCGCCTGGATCGCTTCGACGTGGATCTGTATCTTGTCGAACAAGAACAGTCGGTGTGCCCGCCTGTTTGTTGCTTCCTCAGATCCAGAATATGAGCTTGCGACCTGTGCGACCTGCGCCTACAGGAGCTTTTCCGGCGCTTGCACCGTGAACTTCTTCGTGTCGGGGCTGCGTAAGCAGAATCGTTGCTGTACGCAGGCAGGTACTGTGGCCTTTTCTGCCGTGCACTGCGTCGCCCACGATGCTGAGAAGTGCGCTGCGAGTGCCGCTGAGAAGTGCGCTGCGAGTGCCGCTGAGAAGTGCGCTGCGCGTGCTGCTGAGCATTGAGTCGACGAATTAGACTGGATAGCTGGTTTAGCACCGGGTGTGGAACCGATGCATACACCATCCCATTGGGCCCTTGGACCATTTGCTGCTGCTGTTGTGACTGCTGCTGTAGCTGATGCAGCTGCTGCTGTAATTGATGTAGCTGCTGCTGCTGTGGCTGCTGCTGCTGCTGTGGCTGCTGTTGTTGCTGTTGTTGCTGCTGTTGTTGATGTGGTTGATGTGCATGTGGCTGCTGTTGCTGTGAAACAGTCGACGTGGAAGCCGGAATGCTGCTGGGTAAGGTGCTAGTGGAAGTGTATCCTGGAGCAGACTGGGGATACATATGGCTAGAGTATGGCTGTGGAAGTGGCTGCTGCTGAGGCAGTGGTGGTGGTGGTGGCGGCGGCGGTGGTGGTGGTGGTGGGGGAGGTGGTGGCGGCGGCGGGGGAACAGGATAACCAGCATAGCTGTTTGGGTTCGGATAGCCGTGTATGACGTTGTGATAATGTGATGGATCAGCCTGTCTGGCCAGTCCAGGCCTCGGCCTTTCCTTCGGTCTCTGTCCTATCATCTTGTTGGCACTAAGCTGAGCGAGCGGTTCTCTTGCAGCCTTGACAGGTGTGTTTGTGGAAGACTTAGATGTCTTGTTGAATGCACAGCAGGCGATTATGATCAGGATCACTACACCCACAACTGAGCCGGCAACAATAGCAACTATCCGTAGCGTTCTCTGTGTATCATTCTGACCTTGTTCTATGGGCGCGTGCTCCGTCATACCGTAGCGGTGAGATGATGCAGCCAGTCTGTTACAACTGCACTGTTGTTGCTGCGTTGTGGGACCGTTGCAGGCCGTCGGAAACCCTGTGCATGCTCGTGTTCGCCGCTGGAAGCTGTCGGGCGTGTGGCAGTTTGCTTCCGTGCAGCCCCGCCACTCTGTCCACTGTGTCCATACGGCAGCTGCATTGCCACCACCTGCTGGAATGGCAGAGTCACATCGAGTGCTATCGCATGCCGTCGCCTGCAGTGCTTCGCCCAGGCACTGGTTGTCGCGCGAGCACTGTCGACGTCGCAGTCGCGTTCCACTGCCGCACGTCCGGTCGCAGCTAGTCCACTGCGACCACGCGGACCACATGATGCCACAGGGACTACGGCTGCAGGCACGTGTCTCTGTATTCGTACCGCCACATGTCTGCGGCTGGTGGGGAGTGTTGCACCATCGGCCGCGGCTCATCTTCCCACTGCCGCATGTAGCAGAACATGGTGACCAGACGCTCCACAGCGACCAGCCAGGCATACCTGCACGTTGACAGGGTGGCTGGTTACACGGCGACTGCTGGGTTTGACTGCCACCGGGACATTCGGCCACGGCCAGGCTTACCGGACACCTGCGCTGTCGTTGTCGCATACCACCATCGCCGCACCGTACGGTGCAAGGCGACCATTGCGACCATTCCAGCCCTGGTCCGTGGCACGGCGGAGCACTGCACAGAGCAGCTTGGAAGTTTGTACCGTCACAGTTCGTCGCCGTTCCTGCTGGAACTCCGCTTGGCGGCAAGCAACGGCGCAGGCGGTAGCGCTCGCTTTGGCCACACGTGCGCGGACACGGGCTCCAACGTCCCCATCCGCCCCACGTACCGTTCACGGCCACTTGGAAGCTAATCTTCATAGTCTTGACAGTGCTTGCCTCATCTTCAGATTCACTCATGCCAGCCAGTCTTCTCTGCACTTGAGAAATGTCCCTGTATGCTGTTCTACTTGACACACTAACCGTAGATGCATCATCCACATGTACCTGCTGCTTAGTCCAGTTGGAGTATAGGTTCGATGACCATTGACAACATGTCACATGATCTGACTGCTGCAGCTTCATTTTGCTGATCAGTTCCACGCCAGTCCACTTTCTGTCGGAACATGGTCTTGACCTGATGTAGCGAGGCGGGGTATTTTGCTTTCTGTTCGAATGTAGCCTTGAATTGGTGTAATGAGATTGCTGACTTGCTAGTCCATTACAATGTGAACAGAGAACTTCCTCTGTGATCACATGGCCAGGACAGGAGTGAGTGAAAGCGAGATAAGCTGCTCGCTCATGGAGTACTTCCCTCGCCCTGGCTCGGGAACACGTGGACCACATGGTGGGTGTACCACGGGGTACGGGATCCATGATACATGTGTTCTCTACATCCGTACAGGGACATGGCACCGGGGTGGAATGGCCGACGTGGCCGGCAGTAACCGTGTGTTCTAGGCCGATGACGTGTCCGAGCTCGTGTGATATCAGAGCAGCCACAGTACTGGGCTGTTCCAGGTGATCTTGCACAATAGCCACAGCCCAGGGGGAACCGGCCGTTCCTTGAGTTGCAGCACCTCGGTGTGTGCCCAACTCTTCTGCTGTTAACACTATTGTCATGTCCGCAACAGCTCCGACACTACTCCAAGCACATTCCCTGATGAACTTCAACATACGGACTAGTCCACCTTCCAGTATGCTGCAGTCTTCCGTTTCCGACCATACCTTCAATTGAGCCAGCTCCAGTGTAATTCCAAGTGCAGTGAAGTGCCGAGAGGAGATGTTGAACAGCTCCAGTGCTCGTTCTCTGGCGCTCAGCATCGACGAGCCCAATGTGACGAACAGCGATCTGTCGACAACCATGCGCAGCGTCAGTCTGGCATGTATTGGGACTGACCCGCGTCCTGGAGATGGAGAAGGGTTGGTGTCATCCCGACTCCATCTTGAACCCAGTTGCGTTGCTTCCCAGCGCGTCGATCGATTTAGCTGAGCATCAGCTGCGCAAGTAGTAGTAGATCTACCACGAAACAATCCATCCCTGCGCCTCCGGATATCACTGGTACATTCAGAACAGGGTCTTTTGTAACGCGTTATCGTTGCATCCCTGCTGCAAATCGAAACCGCTCCTGTCGACGATGGCGTACAAACACTAATTTGTACATGAAGAAGCACGAGTACTACTAGAAAGGGGCAAGTGATGTGGCACCATCGCTGCGAGCAGTTGTCTCGCCTCCGATAGGCAAGCATGCCTGCACATCTGCTGGCTCTAGCTCACGGCCGTCGACATTCGTAGATCTACTGGTCTGCTGCATGAGGGGACGTCTTCTTGTTGCACCGCTTTGTAACAATTATGTGTCTTCTCTCTCCAGTCCAGGGCTGCTGTGAGCGCGACTGTTGTGACTGAGCGCGACTCGACTGCGAGGGCGATGTGCAGAAATGTGCCCAGCTCAGGGCAACGTCATTGCGACCGTACCGAGCGCCAGAAGCGTGTAGACCTTGGTAGACGTTTAGACCTTCATTCTTCTAAGGACAGTCATGTAGCTTGCAGCTTCCACTGTTGCTCTGGGAGCTAGGAGCCCTTTTGCGGAAGTACTAGTTGTAGTAGTACCTGAGGTGTAACCTGAGGTGTAAACGAATGTGAACCTGATCACTAGAGAGATGGCCAACTTCCGAGCTCGTTTCCCAATTAAATACAGCAGATCTACATACCTTCCCAAGCCAAGGCTAAAGCCAGTGCCCTCTTTTCTTTTAATACGTCGTTGCAAGATCTAAGGGCCTATCCACACTATGTAATAAAAACGGCGTGCCGTTTCAGAGTACGTGACGTACACGCGATGCTCTGTCCACACTGCACTCTGTCACCAGTAACTACGTCGTGTACCTGTTCATATTTTCTCTATTGCACAATGTTTGTAGCGCGTAGACCAGGAAAGGACTCCCTGGCTTGGTCTAGACCTAGTACCTACCCAGCTAGCTACAAAACAAGTGGCGGCCCAGCGATGGCAGCACTGACGCCGAGCTCAAGGAATATCACCCTGAACTCTGTTCCAGGTGCGGAAATTTGGCAACCGTGTGACCATGGTGACTCTCGCGGCAGCGCAGCGCCAAGGTCGAGGCCGGCTGTAGCATCGCTTGACGAACCAGTGTTGGTGGCCGCCGTGTATTTCCAGTAAAACTCCCTGGCTTTGGCCTTCATGTTGTCAATTTTGGTCACAAGAGGGTTCTGCTTCCTCTCCAAACAATTCTTTCAAATCAGTGTTTTCAGTGAATTCTCCGAGTCTCGCTACTACACCTTCCTCTTCATCAGACCCCCGGGATTTCTCTGCATGTCCAGCCATGACTGTATCAATGTCGCCTCCGAGTGGTCGCTGAAACGGACGTGTGGCAACTCCAAAGCGAAAACAAGCGGCAGCTGGAAACAGCAAGAAAAAACTGCGATCCACAAACTCCATCGATCGAGGCTCACACAACAAACACTGCTGTACTGCGAAAACGGCACGTAGATGAGAAACGTGCTTTGTACAGGGGTCCGCGACTCACGTTCCGCGTGAATCCCACGTTCCCCGTTTTCGGCCATTTTTCGTCACTCACCTTGACAACAAGCATGTTTACGGCGTGTTTACGTGGTTTTCTACCTAGTCTGGACAGGCCCTAAGCTCTCCAATCTACTCTCCCCTTATCAATGCTATCATCATCCGATTCCTGATGACCAATACGCCAATACTAGCCGTCTACGCCGTAGTATGCATACGGCCTAGGCGAAGGTGCTCTGCACCTCCTGACCTGGGCTTACACTACAGAAGTCTTCTCTGTTTTCAACGGTGCGTGAATGTAGACGAGAAGTAAGTTAATGCTGCCATGGACAATCGTATCGTTGCCTGTCATTGTGCAGGATCGGGAGAGTTTTGCTTGCGGTTTCACTTTCGACTTCACCATGTATGTATTGTAGCTCAGAAGTGTCAACGGTGTCGGGTGTCAAGTACCATCCCCGCGGTACTACTATGCACATATCACAGATATGCCCCAGGCATGTAGTACAGGGTAGATAACGCGGATAAGTAGTTACTAAGTTAGATCACCCCTTGCTGTAGAACGGGTTCTGCCGACCGCTATCAACACTGCGTCACGTGCGTACTCAATGGTACCGGCCCTAGCTCTAATACTAGTACTAGTAATACTAATAGTAAGAGCACATAACCCCCAGGGCTTACTCTTGGTAATACGCCTGACAGCCAGTCGATCGTTTCGCTCGCCGAGCAGCAGCTACCAGCCAACTCCAGCAACTCACTCAAAAACAATAGCTCCACTACTATACAATCATATCAGTCTCTACTAGAAATTAGAATGTATCCAGTCCATGGATCCAGCACAGTCCAGCACACTGATCCAGACAGTGCAGTGCCGCACAGTCATAGACATAGACACCATCAACGTCATGCCCAGTCTACCATCGATGGCATTTTGCGGCAGGAAGCCGGTTGCTTGCAGTCGGTCTTCTGCTAATACATATAACGCGTATTGCGCTTTTGCAGTTTGCAACCTTCATGACCAGTGCCCAGCACGTCAAACTTGTGGCATTACATAGTCGGCCACTCTCGCAGAATACACCTCTCTTTGGTTCATGTTCACCAATTACATCAGTCACTTACCCAGGTAGCGAGCGCACTTGTGTCTAAGCCACTGACTGTAGAGGAAATCATCAATGTCTTGCATGGAAAAGGGACCAGAAAGGCCTGGGCGACCGCAGAACAGGTCCTTCTTTGGGTCGCTGTTCAGTACGTTTTAATGTGCTTCGTTGCCCTGACGCAAAGGTGCTTCCACATAGTCATTGCAAGCAACCCGCACAACACCTTATTCCTAAGCTGTTGAGTGAACGCCCGGCACGACTCACGATCAGATGGCGAAGTACTATTATCATAGTACATGTACTAGTATAGTACTACAGTCCATTTCCGCGTACCTAGGCAAAAACCGTTATGCCAGCATCTATACCACATAAAATCTGTGATCACTTTGTGCATAAATTTTTCCAAATTGGGCGTCTGTTATCCAATTCTTTAGAAACTATATGAGAGTAATTGTGGAGCGATCCTGAGCAATATTCCGAAAACTATTCTCAAAAAGTTCCAGCCAAATTTGAAATATTTCAATAACCCTACGCGTCTATAGTTTTGAAATGCACTGTAGGTATCTCATATCGACGATGATCGTGGAGTTCACGTGCTCCACTGGAACTTCTCACGTCTTCAGAGAGAGATCGACTGGACAATGCGGCTAAGCATCGAGACTGCCGTGGACTAGCAATGATCCTTGCACACCGTCCCTGGTGCTCAGCTATGGCAGAACACAGAATACCATGTACATGTAGATCTCCTAGTAGGCTGGAGGTGAGCATTGCGCTGTCACCGCCATCACTATTGTCAAGGTAAATAAGGAGCTTTAATTTATGAGTTTATGTGCTTTTGCTATTACCATTGCGGTAATATCAAGACTTTTCAAGAGTACACACATGTACGTGTAATCTATTTGAACAACCCGCCCGACCGTACTCGTGATAGTATCAGGTACAAAGGATCTTACACGGTATCACCTCATCGACTAGATCATAAGTATCTGTGGAAGAGCTACTTGTCAGTACTGTATAAATCATGTAAGTTGTAAAGCTAGTGGCTGATAACATTATACTGTACCACTATTACATTACAAACTTTATACTTATAGGCACTCGCTCAGGACCGCGAGAACAGAAGAGGTCTCTGCGCCTCAGACTTTGTTCCTTGCAATCCAAATAATTAATTGGCCACCGCCCATTCGTGTCGCGCCAGGGACGAACATGACTGTATCAAGTCATGCCAAAGGTGTTGTTTGTTCATGTGGGCAAGCAGAAGACTTATTAGTGTTGGAACACTGGAGGGAGTAGGAAAAAATACGGTGTTTTACTAATCCCTGGTTAAAATCTCAGAAATCTCAGTTCCAGAGAGTCACCAAAGAGACACTTTGACAACTCAATCGATCCCTGATATCATCTTGCCCCTGCATGCAGGATCAGGAACGTGTGTGTGAAGTCTGAAGATATCACAGTCGTGTGGTTGTATGAATCGGAAATACAGGATCAGGTGGAGCATGTGAGGCGTCAAAATCACAGTCACCGCTTCCGCTGCTTATAGCTCGCTGGGCATCCCGGCCATTGCTTTGTAAGTTGCTAATCTCTTCCCCTTTTGTGTACGTGCTTTCGTTTTCTTTCCTTCTCTTCTTCTGTGGTTGGTCTCACCCCCTCCTCAACTCAATTGGCTGTCTTGACATGCTACGAGGTGTGTCTTTTCCCCCAAACCAGTTAATATCAAAATACACGGATAGAGAGCCAAGGATAAATTTATAGAAAAGAAAAAAAGGACCAAGGAACTACAAGTTACGCTATAATGTCCACTAACACCACCAGTTACTAAACAATCAGCTCATGCGATCACATTGCACGACACTGATCGACGGTACTGACGTTCTACAACTACCACATATAAATGGCTAACAGGCTACAGCTCTAGCACATATTGGATGCGCACTCCAACAGCCTTCCGACTACTTGGAACGTTGAACCGTTCTAAGATATATTATGATAAGAGGGGAAGGATTCTTTGCATGATTCTTGTTCGCATAGCTGCCCCTTAAGCTTTGATTGATCTTCGCATCTTTTGAGCCACGCAAGTTGTGTGGAATGTTGCTTTGCGTCCTTGAATCGTGGTTTGACCATATTGTCCAATGGTCCTGCCAGTATCTTTATCGACATGTATGAACATCCGCCAACGTCCTTCACAGCTGAGACTTAGTAACTGGTGGTGCTAATGGACATTATAGCGTAACTTGTAGTTCCTTGGCCCTTTTTCTTTTCTAGTGAAGTATAAATAAAAATGCAGCTGATATTTTCACCATACCTCTGTCTGATCGGAAATACATGTACACATAGGGCAATCAAGTCCGAGGGTACCGGTAAGTTAGTAAGGACGAAGGCAATTGTCGAAACTTGTAACTCTCACCGGTCGCGTAGGCGCTAGGAAGAGCGGAAATCTCGCGCCTTGCATCATTCTCTCTGCATCGCCTTCTTCTGCCTTGCTACGAGTAGCTATGTACATGTACCTGATCTACATGCACTGTCAGCAGAAAATAATTGATCTACGGTAAGCCAGGCTCCGTTCAGAGCGTTCTCCTCGTCTTGCCTGCTCATACTCAAGTCATAGTGCAGTAGTCGACTCGTTGCCGTTGGCCTTGGGTCTACATACGTAGCGTTGTGTGTATTTTTTTACTTGAATTCGCAAGTACACACGGGCTACAAGTACAAGCCCAGCCAATGCAAGTGCATGCCTGCCGGAACGGTTTGTTTATAATCATTGGAGCGTCGAGCCGTTTTCTCCTTGCAAGTAGTTGCAGGCGCATTTTCTAAGTAAGTCGTAGAGATGTTGAATACTGCCACAGTGTATTAGACTGGGAACGTACCGGTCTCTGGTGCAATTGTGCAGCCCGTCCGCAAAGCTGGTGGTCGACGAGCTTCGGACGGAGGCTGACTTCCGAAGAAGGCGAGGTACAAGACAGGTGAGTTCGGCGAGGACGTGGCTGGTTGCACTGACTCCGGCATGTAAGTGTTGAATCATGTGGAAATACCGGCACTGGATGAAGTAAGTTGGGTGTGGAGGCCTATCGCGTCGGTTGACGCTGCTTCTGACACGTCGCCTCTGCCCATTTCTTCCTATACGTATGTTGCTATGGTAGGCTACG